ATTCTAGCAGTAAAGAAAATGAATAAACTGAAAAAAAAACAAAACAAAGGCAAACTAATCTAGGAAAAACTTCACACCAATATCCCTCAGAGATAAAGATACAAAAATACTAAGCAAACAGTTAACTATTCTAAGATAACAATATATAAAAAAGGATAATACTCCTAGCACTGAAGAGGTTTAGGCAGGAAGAGTTCAAGTTTAAAGCCAGCCTCAAATAAATAGTGAGAGCATGTCTCAAATAAAAACAAATGCCAGGCGTGGTGGCGCATGCCTTTAATCCCAGCACTCGGAAGCAGACGCAGGCGGATCTCTGTGAGTTCGAGGCCAGCCCGGTCTACATAGTGAGTTCCAGGACAGCTGGGGCTACAGGGAGACCCTGTCTCAAAAAGACCCAAAAAAACCCCAAAACAAAACAAACAAAAAAGGATAATGAGGCACCAGGCACTCATGTGGTGGGTGGGTGTGTATTTGTGTATGTACATATGTATATTTTATATATACATATAAAACACTCATACACATAAAATTTAAAAATAAGTAAATCTTAAAAAGACAAAAGAGAGCAAGCAGCATAACGAATTATATTATAAGTTGGCTGAGTACTAACCTTGGCCACTGCACATCGAACAGCCATTGATCTGTCGGTTAAGAGGGACCTAGCATTCTTGTAAATGTCACGATGACAGGAAGCTGCTGCACCACCCAGTCCATTTAGAACTCTCTGCAAACTCATTAAGATTTCGCTTCGCCCTTGAGACTACACACAGACACAAGCAAAGCTTTAAAACTATATTGTCAAATAAATTTCACATTTAAACAAGAACACACTAGGATACAAAAATTCTCCGGGACTAATTATCTCCAGTTTGTAACAGTAAGTAATGAAAAGCAAAATAAGAGTAAGAATTCTACAAAGTATCTGAAAGGTAAGAATAATTATTAACATCATCAACTAAATAATATCTGTGAAACATAAAACAATCCAATAATAGCATGACATACTGAAGTACAATGAGAATGTGTAGACAGACTCAAAGCTTCCCAAACTTTCAGAATATAAACATTAAGTTAGAAACAATTAGAAATGTTAACCAGTCAAGAAGAAGAAATGGTTTAATATATTTAAAAAATTTATCACAGAATATTAACCCTAAACTTGTGATTAACTCAAACTCATATTTCTTTTTTAAAACATGTGCTTTTTTAAGCATATGAGTATATTGCCTGCATGTAAGTGCACCCGTGTTGTGCAATGCCCACAGAGGTCAGAAGAGGGTGTTGGATCCCCCTGGAACTGGAGTTACAGGCAGTTGTTAGCCACCATATGTGTTCTGGGAATTGAATCTGGTTCCTTTACAAGAGCAGCCAGCCAGCACTCTTAACTGCTGAGCCAACTCTCCAGCCCCTCAAACTTGTATTTCTGTATTCTTGTAGTGTTTATTCTTACATATGAAGTATACTGATCACAGTATATCATACTTATTCAGAGAGACTTCTTCCACTATATTGGAAGTTTCTTGAGGTCAAAGACCATGTCTAACTCATTTTATGTGTCTAATGCCTGAAAAATACATCCTCAATTCCTGTCTAAGAATAAACAAATGTGCCAGGTGTGGTGGTGCACGCCTTTAATCCCAGCACTTGGGAGGTAGAGGCAGGTGGATCTCTGTGAGTTCAGGGCCAGCCTGGTCTACATAGTGAGTTCCAGGACAGCTGGGGCTACAGGGAGACCCTATCTCAAAAACACCAAAAAATAAACAAATGTTCCCAAAGAAGACATCTGAGAAATCCTTTTCCTGGACAAAAGGATGGGCTGCAGATTGGGGATGTAGCCCAGATGCAGAGCACCTGCACAGCCTATGCTAAGCCCTGAGTTTGATACCCAGCACTGAAAAAACAAAATTAGACTTAAGTCTCGAACTCAGTGTATATTTAGTTAATCTAATGTTGACAAGGAATCAATGGAGGTAACAGCAAGCTGATATGACAAAAGAATACCATTTCATTTGGTATCAATAGTCAGGGTAGAACTTGCTCCCCTTCAAAGGTAAGTTCAAGTCCTAAACTCTTTCACTTGTGAATGTACTTTATTTGAAAACAGGTTAGTTGCAAATTAGATAAAGATGTCATAGTGGATTAGGGTGAGCCTTAATGCAACTACTCCTTTATAAAAACAAAAGAATTTATATAGGACCAAGAAGGCAGAGATTAGAGAGCTGTGTGTACAAGCTGAGAACAGCCAGGATTTCTGGCAACCATTAGAAGCCGGGAAAGAAAGGAAGAATTGATTCTCCTCTAAAGCCTCAGAGGAAATATGGTCCACCTGGCACTTGATTTTAGACTAGATTCCAAAACTATGAGATAAAATTTTCATTTTTCTAAGGCACACAATGCATGGTGATTTATCACAGCAGACACATGAAACTGATACATTAGGTATGACACAAAAAATGTCAACTGAAGCAGAGCTAAGTAAAAATAGTAAGTAAACCTACTGTTTGCTCAAAAAAGCATTTTTCCCTTTCTCCTGAAATGTACATTACAAAGGAGGCAGGGTGATAATCTAGAACCACTTTCTTGCTAAGCACTGTGAGTACAATAGTAACAGAACAGAAACACTTTTCACTGACTTTAACTGTGCTGCAAGCAAAGCATTCAGATACTGTGGTAAAACTTACCTCTGCACTTTTCAGAGATTTTAAAAGATTATTTACTGTTTCTGGAAATGTACTGCCTAACATCCTCCCCATCTTCTCATAAAATGCTCCAACACAAGCCACAGCTGCCCTGTAAGAAGATTTTCATGGGTTAAGAACACAATTTCATTATATCTTTGTGATTTTCTAAAAAGTCAATTTGTATTTGTCTATATTTTGCCTATCATCCTTAATTTATTTTCAAAATTCTAGAGGCTGATAGTAAATTTAAAAATGACTGATAACATTCTGGACGATTCTGGACTACATTATGGAATTCCTAAACAGAATCCATGAATTTATTGGCATACTAAATTCTATTTAACCAGAACGGCAAAAGTATATATTTTCTAAATGATACAGAATTAAATAATCAAACTATTAACACAGCTTCAAAATTCAAAACCCAAAACCTACCACAGATTTTCACTTGAATAATACCACAACACTATAAATTCATCACACCCAAAGGTTGTATTATTTTCCCTTTACATCCTTCTCTATTTTGTACCTTTCATTTCCAATTAGAAGTTTTCTTTGTCTAGAAAACAAATTGGCAAACGTAGCCAGTAGCCATCTGGCCTGCTACCCAGCCTGCCATTTGTTTTCATAGTGTTACTAGAGAACAGCTGTATTCACTCACTATGTACTATCTGTGTAGAAGTCAGTAGCTGCTACATAGATATTTATTCCAAAGTGTTGGAAGCATCTATCTGGGCCCCTCCAGGAAGCACGCAGACTCCTGATGGACTGTATGCACTCTTCCTCCTGCCATCTGAGCCCTTCACCTGACTGCTTTTCATGGATTCTTTGTGCTTAAGCTTCTGTGGCTGTGCCTTCTTTGAAGAGCCTTCCTTGACACTGCTCTCCCACAGCTATGCTTATTTGGGCACTGACTTTTTTTCCATAGCACTCTTCAAAGTATAGAACTGTTGATTTTCTCATTTAACTCATTATTAGGCTTCTCTAGAGTTGCTGTTCTCTATTTGGAACAAAAATACCTGTCTTGTCAAACCATAATTATGGGCTAGAAGTTGGGGCAACTTAATCTAGGGGTCAGTAAACTTGTAGGCAAAATGGCCTCTGCCTCAGCTACTCAAATCTGCTATTCTAATAAGAAAGTAGCTGCCAATCAGATGAGCAGGCAGGTCTGGATTCCAAAACTATTTTATTTACTAAACTGGCTGGTTTTGGCCAGAGGACTATACTTTACCCATTCCTGACTCAGTTCCCTCACCTAGGAATTCTTTTCTTTTCATCCCAGACAAGAATATTATTTCCATCCAAACTCATCAAAGATCCCTGACACCATTGCTGAGAGCATACCAGTTCCTGAAAGTTTGCTCAAACCCCAACAGTGATGGATAGAAGGAAGGCCAGTGCCTTCCTCAGATCGCCTTAGAACCTTCATTGTCAGTAACATGCCTCAGGTCCACCCACCTGGGTCTTTATGACCAGTAGTTCCTAAGTTACTCTAAACAAAACAAACAAAAACAAGCAAAACTCAAGGATTCCTATAAAAGCAAGTACTTACAATTTTGTTGGTAAGTAGACTGCAGTGTCATCTTTACTTTTGATAATTTCATTACACTTATCTAGTGTTTGAAAAACTGTGTAAGTATCCCCAATGCTATAAAGAGCTGCAAGATTTTTAGCTAATAATTTTCTAGTAGGTGGTCCAGGTGAGCTGCTTATTAATCCAGTTAATTGTTCAACGAGTTTTTTCTGTTTTTCTTTTACATCAGTCTGTTATTTTAAAAAGAGAGAATATCACCTTTATTACACTTTTTGTTACTTTCTGGTCAAAAAATATTTAACATGTATTCTAATAATTAAAATCTATATTATATTAAGCATAAACTATGAGAACTTTTATGTAAATGGAAATTTCAGTAAGAAATGATCCATTCTTTCCTAGATTAAATCTCCATTCCCTTCCAATGTCCAAAAGTTCCATTTCAATAAAAGTGACTACTGTGATCCATAAAGTTTCCAGATCAACTTAGGAAGAAGTTAAACCACAAAGGATGAAAAATTCTAGATGTATGGACAACTGACACCTTGGAACCCAGACAGGTTTTCCCCTATAAAAGAAGTCAGTAGTCCATAAAGTTACAGGTTAGTAAAGGAAACCAAAAGAAATTTTGAAGAGACTTAAGGAACAGAAATAATGCCCATAGTTACCCATAATCAGTATCTAGAATTCATTTATTCACTCAAGAAATACTTACAAAGCATTTATCGCATGCCATGCACTATTCTAGGCAATAGGTGTTAACAGTGAACAAAATAGACAAAATCCTCATCCTCATGAAATTGACATGCTAGTAGAGGACAGAGTTTGCTAAATAAACAAAGGAATGATATGAGTGCTTACCATTTCATATAGATTAACTAGAAAACGCCACCCTCAAAAGTGAAGTGGCAAGCTATGCAGATATCTGGGGGAAGAATGTTCCAGAGAGAAGGAACAAGGAGTGCAAAGGCTTTGAAGACAAAGCATGTAGAGCATACCAGAGAACTGCAAGGTCAGGTTAGTTGGAGTGCTACGTGCATGAAAGAACACTGTATTCATTCTCAGTGAGAATTGTAAGCAGAAAGGAGTTGTAATCAAAATATTTACGGGACACAGTTTGACTGCTAAGCTGTAAATACTCTAAACACAAGGGCAGAAGCTTGGTGAGAGATCCTGCAATAACTCAGATGAGAGACACTGGATCTAACAGAAAACAGGAAGTAAATGAATTCTAGGTATGTTTGTGGGTAGTATCACAAGATTTGCTGGTGAATATGATCTAAGGTTTAAGAAAGATGTTGGGCCAACTGTATGGTCTTAAACACCCAAAAGGAAAGTATAACCAAAGAGTAAAGTCATCAGTATATTTCTTTAAGAGTTCAAGGGATTATAGTTCTCAGACATTAGGCTTCAGTCCATATAAAAAGTTATTTAGACAATTATTTCTCATTGATGATTTTGTTCTGAATCAAAAACTGTTTCTCAGATGTACAACTTCAAATCTTGATCTGCAATACTGTGGTGCCCACCTGTAGCTAAGGCAGACAACCTGCTATTGTTCTAAAATGATGGCCAAATTTGTTTTCTCCCCCTATCTAGAAGCCTTCAAGAGGGAACTGACACTGATTCTAGCTACTTCAACAGCTATCAAAGTGCCTGAAAACAAATCCTGAATCCATCACTCTTGAGTCCAGCCTTGGCAGACAAAAGAAAAATGAGGAGGAACCCAATACAGGGATGCTTTTGGAAGCTCTTGTCAAGAAATTCCAATGGACTCTCATATGAACATTTGAAATTTGCCCTGTTCTGACTTTTTTTCTAGTTCCCTGTCTAGAACTTGTAATGCTAATTACTCTTGCCTTTACTTCTCCTTCACATCTCCTATTCGCCGGACAAGGACTTTCTTTTCCTCCTACAGATAAGAGTAATATAATTTGGAGTCTTTTAGATAGGGTACTGAAGGGGTACCCCAAATGCCTCACCCTGCATCCCTGTTCAGCATGGAGGAAGCCAGAGCAGTCTGCATCCCAACTCTCTATCCGCAAGCTGGGTAACCTCTTCAGAGGATGGTGTGGTAAGAATAGGAGGTAGGAATTGGCTAGGCAGTTAGTGTAAAAAGACCCCAAAGAAAAGTAGCCAGTTTCTTGGCTAAAATTCAGAATGTCCTTGGGCCTCTTAGCAACATACTCCATTCCAAAGGCCAAAATGTCTAAAGTACTTGAGAGCTCTTATCTAATCCTTAAAAGATTTTAGGATTACCTCTTCAGAGGGGAGAATGTTAGAGTAGCAAAAAGCAAAAAGTAGAAAGAATGCATAAAGTTATCAGAAAAAAAGTGATAGGGAGATATGGGAGGATTTGGAGGGGAGTGGGCATGGATTTAATCAAAACGACTTATATGCTTATATGAAATTTTCAATAAATTATTTAAAATTAAAAGAAAGAGAAATAGGTGAAGAATGACTCTAGGGGATGTGTCTGAAAAGAGAAATCAAGAATGGCTTAGATGTGTTAACTGTGAGATGTGTGTGTGAGAGAGAGAGAGAGAGAGAGAGAGAGAGAGAGAGAGAGAGATTGATTCATACTTATATATTCTAGGGTGGCCTTGAAATTACTATATAGCTTAGGATGAGGATGACTTTTGACTGCTGGTCCTCCTGCCTCTATCTCCCAGGTGCTGGGATTACAGATGCCTGTCATTGCACCTGGTTTTTGTGGTACTGGGGACCGATCTCAGGGTTTTGTGCCTGCTAAGTAAGTACTCTACCAACTGAGTTACATACCCAACCTCAAGATGTCTTCCAAGACAAGAAAAAGGTTGGAGATCTGAGAGACCTTCTTAAAGAAATGGTAGTTTTGCCAGGGTGGTGGCATGTGCCTTACTCCCAGCCCTCCGGAGGCAGAGGCAGGTGGATCTCTGTGAGACCGAGGCCAGTCTGGTCCACATAGTGACTTCTAGACAGGCTGGGACTAGGGAGTCCTTGTCCAAAAAAAAGGAAGGAAGGAAGGAAGGAAGGAAGGAAGGAAGGAAGGAAGGAAGGAAGGAAGGAGGGAGGGAGGAAGGAAGGAGGAAGGAAGGAAGGAAGGGTTGGTAGTTGCAATCAGAAGAGTATACAATGTCACTAAAAGAATAAGACTGATAAAACTCATAACAAAGAATTTAAAAGTATTAAATGTTTTAAAGTGGAAGATCAGCTATGTCAAAAGATGGGAATGTGGGGATGGAGAGATGGCTCAGCGGTTAAGAACACTGGTTATTCTTGCAGAAGACCCAGGTTCGAATCCCAGAACCCACATGGCAGCTAATAACTGTCCCAGGGGATCCGACAGCCTCTTCTGTCCTCCACAATCATTACACAACACGGGTGCATTTACCTACATGCAGGCAATACAAGCATACACATAAAAAAAATAAAAATAAATAATTTTTTTTTAAAGATGGGAATGTAGAGGGCTGCTGAGATGGCTCAGTGGGCAGGGGAACTTGCCATTGAGCCTGACCACCTGAATTTAACCCCTGAGCCCACAGGTAGAGGAAGAGAACTGACTCACATAAGTCCTCTGACCTCCATATGCATGCTTTGGCTCCATCACTCAGACAGACTAAATATATAAATGCAAAAGAGAGAGATGGAAATGGATCAAATAAGGCAAATACTAACCACTGTTTAAAGCAATTTGAGTTATGTAATAACTGGACTACATCTTTTCAGTGGAAGACAATAACGCAGTTACAGAAGTAATGTGAAAATGTAAATTTCTAGATGAAGGTTTCAAGTTAATTCATGCATTACTTGCCTCTCTAGCAATGAATTAACATTCTAGTAGTCAATAATAACAACAAAGCACAAGTCCATAACAGCACAGACAGCAGGAAAAAAAAACCCACACAAAAACTGGAAGCTGAGAATTGCCGAGAAAACTGAGAATAAGCCTAACTCAAGACATAAAGTGCCCTCAAAGTCTGTATTCTTTGAAGCCCTGGGTATCTCTGCAGATGGGAGCAAATCTGTGCTAGAAATAAAGGAGTGAGTAGTCAACAGTCTTAGAAGCTGTACAGGCCTGCATCAATACTCCTGGTGTCCCAGCACTCAGGAGGCTAATGCAGGAAGATAGCTGCAAGTTTCAGGCGGGCCTGGGATGGACAATGAGTTCTGTCCCAGGCCAGCCGAGACTACCTAATAAGACCCTGTCTCTTAAAAGATAAAAAAGCTGTGTGACGTCTACTTCTCTCCCCTCCACTCTAGAAGTCTGGAGGCTTGTCCTCCAAAAAGAATAAGCTACAACTCTGGACAAGGACAGTGCTGGCACAGCTGTGGACTGAGGCCACTGCACTGAAATGGAGATTAAGTCATAGTTTACATATGGGTTGCTAAAGTCCTCTGGATCCTAGACAATTAGCTATATACCCTTTAGACACTAGAAAAAGTTTCTTCTAGGGAACAATCAGCCTAGAGAAACCTATTGAGATATTACAGTCAGGAACAGGACGAACCTATAGTGAAGTTCAGTTAACACAACTCACCCTGTCCAGAAGGACCTTTTACAATTCATTCTTAAATTCAAACAAAGATATCTGTCATTTGAGGGAAGTACAGAATGTTAAAGAAAATAAAATACGCACACAACAAACCCGAATCAAAGAGACTGTATAGAAGAAAAAGTAAAAGTAAAAACCTACTATTAACTCCTCGGAAAGAACAGTGCAGATATTGGGACTGGGTCTGTTGGCCAGCAGAGGCCACTTTCAGGCACTGATGACTATGAAGTGACACCAGCCAGAGTGATGCTTTTCTCTAGTCACACCGAGCTGCTTAGCTCAAGATATGAGGTATGCAACATGCAGAGTTTAAATAGGGTTTGGGGTTTTTGTCACTGAAGAACAGGACAGACGAGAAATTTCATTAGTATTAACTTTCTGCAATTCCACAGGGGTCTGACATAACATGTCCAAAACAATATTTTAATTGTCTTTACATTCGTCCTACTGGGGTTGGGGGGCAATACCATACCTTGTTGGCAGCAACTAAAACTTTATCAAGAAATCTCAACCATTCAAAGATAAACACTGGTCTCTTTGCTTCAGTGATTTGAGCCAACGCGTCTTCATTTAGTAATAAGCTGTGGGCTAACTCCATTACCGAAGCTGTAAATCCACACCTTAAATTAAGATATTAAAAAATACATGTAAGGGATTTTTTAATATCAAACGTCAATCAAGTTTAATGATGTAACTACTTAAGAGAAAGTGTGTTCCTATCTCTCATTTCTTCACTATAACTTCTTTAAAGGCACAACCTTGAATCAACCTGAAGACAAAACGATACAAACAAAAACAAAACTATGCTTGGTGAAAAGAATGAAGAACGGGGTGAAAGGAAAGTTAAAATATTGTTAAAAAGGCATTATTCCAGGGGGGGAGGAAATGCCTATCAGAAATAACATGGGTCACTAATCATTAATCCATTCTGGCATGAGGACCCCAAGCTCAAGCATCTCAGCGAGCCGCACGCCCCATAAGTACATTCAGACACCTCCAGACGACCCTCCCAGGGTAAAGGCGCCAGGCTGCAGGCCGCCTAGCCTTCCAGCCGGCGTGATGGACACAAAGCCGGCTCTCAAGGAAAGAGAGCCCCTGACAACCGCAAGGCCGGGGAATGCAGTCGGGAAGGCCGGGGAGGCCCCGCGAGTCCGGGGTCTGAGTTCACCCCGAGGACCGCGGTGCAGTGCGGGGCCCGGGGGAAATGCAAGCCGCGGTCGCGGACCTCCTCGGGCTGTCAACCTCCAGTCGCGAGGTCTCTAGAGGTGTCAACCCAACAGGCAGACGAACCCCGGCCCAGAGCTCGCGTTTCCTCCTCAGCCCTCTGAAAACGTCGCGGAGGACAGGGACTAGGGGTGCGTGTCAACGTGCACGCTTTGGTGGCGCCCGGGACGCCTCACCTGCTAATCTGGCAGGGGGAGATCAGCTGAGCTACCCAGACAGAGGCCGCCGCCGGGGGACCCGGATGCCCCGCCTCCCGGTCTCCGGCCGGCAGGAAGCAGGAGAAGGGCGCATGCGCCGGCCGCTAGTCCTACGCACGCGCAGTCGTCACGCCCGCTCTTAGTCCCACCTGCCGCAACTTTCCAAGCGAATCTGTGTTCAGAGACGTTTGTGGAAGGACCCGAGATCCTGCGCTAATTGGAGAGCACATGCGAAGTACGCGCTCTGCGAGGCTGGCCTGAGGTGGGTTCAGCTGCGAGTTAAAGGTCTGCCCAAGGTAGGGGAATGACACAGGTGGGTGCGCGTTGGTTGTGACTGGCCATCACGCCATCAGCCACATCCGCATCCATGAGAGTTAGCTCATCTCATGTGTGTGTGTGTGTGTGTGTGTGTGTGTGTGTGTGTGCGCGCGCTTGCTGCTACCTCTGCCTGCTCTACCTAAAACACAACGAAGGATTACTCCATTATTGAGGTAGTAAGGAAAGAGCTTGACTTATTGGTAATCTTTCACACACCACCTCCGACCCCTCTGCAAATGCTGTAAGCTCTCCATCAGATCTACCCAGAATCTGACCCCTTGTCTGCGATGACTTTAAGCGGTAGTTCAGGTCTCTGTCTTCTCTGCCTGACTTGCCTAGCGCCTTGGGGAGTTTCTATTTATGTTTGATAGGCGTGGCTAATGCTAGTGTAGATTGTCCTGATAGAAAGGGAGCTTTCGTGCACCCCATAACAATAATTTAACTTCCTCCCCAATAGTCATGAACTTCATCAAGCCTCATCAATAAATGGAGTTGCAATATATTGTGAAGTTTGTGTGATATATGAACTGTAACTATAAAATTGAATGAATATTTTAAAGGGGGGGGTCTGGAAAAGAACCTGTAACACCCTTCCACTTTTCGGGGACTTTTTTGTTTTGTTTTGTTTTGCTTTTTGAGACAGGGACTCACCGTGCTGACTATACTGGCCTCAAACTCAAGATGTTCCTATTTCAGTCTCCTGAGTTGCTGGAATTATTCCTGTGGGCCACCGTGCCTGACTGCCTTGAACTGTAGAGCTAAATGGGTCTCTTAAAAATAATCTAGTTTGGGATAGAAATGTAGCTCAGTGGTAGAGCGTTTGCGTAGCATGATTGAGGCCTTGAGTTCAATCTCCATCTCACCACCACTACCAGTAATAATCTAAATTTGTTTTCAGCAGCACACCTGAGACCTGTATTCTTTGGGGTTGTGAACAAATTGTTCAACCATAGTATATTGGGCCGTAATTTCTTCAACTGGAAAGTGAAACTAACTAGTCCTACCTATTGAGTTGTTCATGAACTAGGAAAGTACCATTATATAACAGTAAGGATACTGTTATTACAAATGAAACTAATGTTGAGGGTGAACTACCAGAAGTGTTAGATATAATCATAAATATTTCAATGTATTATTTAAAAAAAAAGAACTGCCAGGCGTGGTGGCGCACGCCTTTAATCCCAGCACTCAGGAGGCAAAGGCAGGTGGATCTCTGTGAGTTCAAGGCCAGCCTGGTCTACATAGTGAGTTCCAGGACAACTGGGGCTACAGGGAGACCCTGTCTCAAAAAGACTTAAAAAAAAAAAAATAGAAGAACTAAACTGTATTAGGATACGTGTGTTTAAAGGAAGGGAGAAATTGGGTGCTCTAAAAGGCACAACTCCTCAAACCAGAGGAGGGGTACAGGTGAGTTGGAGACATTAGCTCTCCAAAGTAGCTGATAAGAGTCTGTCTGCTGATGTATTATCATTTGCTGTGTAACAAATTGTCTAAATTTAGCATCTTAATATAAGTACATTCATTTATCTTCTCATGGTTTCTGTGAGTAAAGAATTTGTTTAGCTTAGCATGGACATTGGAATGAAGAAGCCAACCCAGTGTGATTCCCTTTGGACTAGACTAGGACTAGAGAATCCATTTCCCAGGTGACTTACTGATTCACCTCACACCTTTGTGCCTCAGGTTCCTTCTACATAGATGTCCGTAGAGTTTCTTCAGTGTCCTCATGTGTGATGAGTGACTTCATTCAGTTAATCCATCCTGTGAACATTACAGTGTGCAGTGTGTTATATGACCAAACTGTCACTCTTAACATTTCTACAAAATTCTGGTGGTTACACAAGTAAATCCTATTCATTGTGGGAGATTACACAAAGCTATCAAAAAAGCCAACAGGCAAGATTCACTAGAAGTGGGTCATCTTGGAAATAATTATGAGTGTTTGCTTCATAACAGGGGAATCAGGGCCAGCCTGGTCTACATACTGAATTCCAGGCCAGCCAGAGCTACACAGTGATACCCTGCATCAATAAACACACACACACACACACACAGAGAGAGAGAGAGAGAGAGAGAGAGAGAGAGAGAGAGAGAGAGAGAGAGATGAAAGACAAAGAGAAACAGAGAAAGATAGAGAAAACTAATATATAATGGTTTTGCCATCCAGGGTAATTGTCCAGACTCTTGGCTGAGGTTGATGGGACACCTACTTAAGTAATGTAGAAATGTGAACGTGTTAGGCCATACAGCTGGGAAAGACACTATGGCATCAGAAATCAGGGCCTTAGGAAGTAGGACTGGAGAGTCATTTGTTTAGACCAGTTCATTTCCTCTATTGGCTTCACTTCTGCAGACAAGTTCTCTTGATTTGGCTAGCTTGGCCATTCACAGGTCCAGGTTCACACACTCCCAGCTCAGAAAGCCCACTAAAGTGTCATTCCCTATGATCCATATATTCAAATATAAGAAAAGATGTGCTTCTCTCTTCCAATACTTTCAACTTAGCTACTGTTGGTCATGTTTCAGAACAAATTTAATAACCTAAAAAAATCCTGTATCATATTGGCTTAGATTTTATCTTTATGTTTATTCAGTCTTTATACATGTTTATGATTTTCAGTACACAGCAAAAAAAAAAAAAAAGATGTGCTTATTTGCCTTTATTGAGTTATCACCTCCTCTCTTGCTGGGCATAGGGTGCTGTAATTCTTTATCTTTGTGCATAAGGAAATGTAGGGCAGTGTGGTCACCACCAGTGGCGGCCGCTCCTCCGTTCTCACGGGTGCCGCTCCTTCGTTCTCACAGGCGTCGAGGCTGCTCCTCCACTTGCCCTAGGCTGAGGCCACTCTTCTGCCTGTCCTGGGCTGAGGCCACTCTTCTGCTCACCTTGTGCTGCCTCCTGTCTTGCTGCTTCTGCCTGGTCCCAGACCCCAGGGGTGGTGAGGAGACTGTGTCAGCAGAGCCACATTCAGACACAGGAAACTAGGTTCAGTGACACAGGTCTGCTTTATTACAGGAAGGCACAAGCTTATATGGGGTAGTGGTCCAATCACAGCACAACAAGTAGGATACCTCATTAGCATAACAGGTTTAGCATCTTATTACAGTACAGCAAGTAGGATACCTTATTAGCATAACAGTCAGCATCCTATTAGCATAACAGACAACATCCTATCACAGAATAGCGGGTAGGATGCCTCAATAGCATACTGGATTTCAGATTACAGAGCCTGTATTCCTGGAAACCATGTGACCCTGGCAGTTGCAATATCTAAGTGTTGCAATTTTGGATCCCAAGGGTGGTGATTAGGGAGTGGCCAGCTCTAGGCATCAGTCAGCTCTAGGCATCAGTCTCATGATCTGCCAATGGGAGAAAATGTCACAAGGCATTCCTTGTGGCTCCAGCGGTCGGGCTGTAACCTTGAGACTGCTGTATGGCTGTCAATAAGACTTTCACCCTAAACTCAAGCCTGTCTCCCACAGGGCAGGAGTACTGCTAACCCTCCATTGGAACTACATAGAGGGCAGGTTTCCAGTAGGTTTCCAGAAGAAAGGATGCTGAGCAGGAAGAAACAGCATCTCAGCATCTGTGAACTGCAACAAGTGACTGCACTGTTGTATTCAGCAGTTAGAACATCAACATTGATAATGCCTGGGAACTGCTTAGAAATGCAAAGCTTCAGGCTGGAGAGGTGGCTCAGTGGTTAAGAGCACAGACTGCTCTTGCAGAGGACCTGGGTTTGATTCCCAGCACCAACATGGTGGCTATGAACCCTCCTTAACTCCAGTGTCAGGAGAATCCAAAGCCCTCTTCTGATCTCTGTGGCATTGCACGACAGGGGTGCACTCATGTACATTCAGGCAATACATTCATACACATAAAGTAGAAATAATAAAATATTTTTAAAAATTGAAATGCAAAGCTTCGTGCTCCAACCTCAGAGCCAGATTTTGTGGGTTTTTTTTTTTTAATTAATTCTTTGGGAACTTCATGCATTGTATTTTGATTATATTTCCCCTCTCCCCCAACTCCTCCCAGATCCACCCTCACCTTCTTACCCACCAACTTCATATGCACCCCCAAAACACGCTGTGACCACAATGCCTTTCCCAAATATTCCTGGGTATCCGTGTTAGTGGTATAGTGGTGAGCATAGCTGTCTTCCAAATATTCCTGAGTGTGGAACCTGCCCTGTATTGTCATCAACCTCCCAAGGGTCACACTTTTATAGAACACTCAACTCTTGTTGTCCCAGCAGCTTCCAAGTGCCATTAGCTAGGAGTGGGACTGCATACCCACTTCCCCCACCCCTCCATGTTGGGATTTTGTCTGACTTAAGCTTGAGTAGGTTTTATGCATGGTGTCATAATTGTTGTGAGTTCATATTTGCAACTGCCCTGCTGTCTAGAAAACCTGCTTTCTTGTAGTTGTCCAGCACCTCTGGCTCTTACAATCTTTCCACCTCCACTTTTCTCAAAGATCCCTGAGCCTTGGGGAGAGGGGATGTCCCATTTAGGGTGGAGCATGCCACAGTCTCTTACTCTCTGCATGTTTACCAGTTGTGGGTTAATTGCCTTCTGTTTCAAGACAAAGCTTCTTTGATGAGGATTGAGAGATGCACTAATCTATGGACAAAGCAATAAGTCATTATAAATCATTTTAATACTATGTCCATTCAATAGAATATTAGTAGTAGATTATCCCCTAGGGCCTATGACCTATCCAGCCATAGGTTCTTCGCCCTGATAACGGTATCAGGTATGGGTTTCATCTTGTGGAATGGGCCTTAAATCCAGTCAAGGGTGATTGGTCACTCCCATAACATTCGTACCACTATTGCATTAGTGGGCATATTTTGCCAGGTCAGTCATTATTGCAGCTCACCAGGTTCATCAACTAGTAAGACTGATGATTACTTCTCTCTTCTGGTAGTGTACATAGCACATTCCAGCACTATGAAAGCTAGCCAGTAGGGAAGAAGCTATGAGGTCAGTACCTGCTTGATTTCCCCATGTTTTATGTAGATTTTCAGAAAAGACCACTGGAACCTACTCCTGTAGAAGCTCTCTCTCTCTCTCTCTCTCTCTCTCTCCTCTCTCTCTCATTTCTTTCTCTCTCCTCTCTCTTTCTCTCCTCTCTCCTCTCTCCCAAAAAAATTTAACAGTTTAAATGGAGTTACCATGTAATGGGAGACAATACCCAACTAGACACCTCATCCTAGCAAATAAAAAACCCTAATACTAGGAATAGGTAACCTCTCTTGAAGTTGTTGGCCAGTGGGATCCCATAGACCCCCAAACATTACAGGCTATTGCCATTGTTCTTGATTACCCTCCAGAACTTGACAATCAGACCCCATTGCTAAAGATAACAGATTCTGCATTTTTTAGAAGATCCTAGGGAATTTATACATACAATAAGTTTGAGGGACAATCTTACAGATAATTATTTTAACTCTTTAAGGGCTAGTAATTATATGATTTTAACTATGGGAAATGTCCCCCAAAATATTTACTTGTAAGCAAAGTCTTACTATATCAAGTTCCACATGAACAACTTTGACATAAAGTGCTGTAACTAGAGGCCTGAAATGGTCAAAATGGGTTCTTGAGAAAGAAGATATCTTTGAGATAAGAGGAAGGAAATAACTCATGGTATGTTCAGAGAGCAATGAGAGACTATCTGATTTGAATGTTAAATTCTAAAGGAGAGTAGAGGGTTGCTTTTCAAAAGACACACCTCACACTTTGCTATTGTGGCCCATCATCCACTGTCTACAGGTCAAGTTTACTGAAGAGTTTGAAGCAGAAATGTAACCTGACATATTAAAAACAAAACAACCACCTTGGAAAGAGTGTAGAAGAGACCAAAAACAGTAAGACCAGTTAGGAAGCAATTGTAATGGTTTAGGTAGAAAAAGGTGCCTAAACTCAAGCAGTGGTGACATTCTAGGGAAAAAATGTCTGCAAGGAATGTATTGGAAGAACGGACATAGGGTGTGTATTTCTTTAGAAGAGGTCAAACAATGAGGATTATAAGAGAAGAGAGTATATACCGTGATAACCTAATGTAGTCAATGAAAGAGATGTGGGAGAAGAATGAGTTGAGTTGTTTGGAATGTTGATTTTAAGAGTTCCACAAATAGGGGCTGGAGAGATGGCTCAACAGTTAAGAGCACTGACTGCTCTTGCAGAGGACCCGGGTTCAATTCCCAGCACCCACATAGTAGCTACAAACCGTCTTTAACTCCAGTTCCAAGGGGATCCGATGCCTTCTTTTGACCTCTGCGGCATTGCACTACATGGGTACACTCACATATATGCAGGTAATACACTCATACACATAAAATAAAAATAAAGAGTTCCGCAAATAAAGATGTCCACAAGGCATTTGAATATGTAGGAGAGTTCTAGAGAAAGCTCATGACTGGGAATACCTGGAGGTTTATTTCCATTTTGGTAAACCAAAATAATGATGATAATACTGTTACTTTGTTTTGCTTGATTTTTATAGTTTTACCATTTGAACTTGAATATGGCAGAAGAGGACTATATGTCTGATTCCTTCATCAATGTTCAGTAAGTAAATGTACAGACCTAATGCAATGATATGTTATAGACTATAAAACAATTTTTTGTTGCTGGTATGTGTGTGTTTATTTGTTTGCTAGTTTGTTTGAGACAGGGTCTAATGTAGCCCAGGCTGATCCTCCAGCCTCCACCTCCCAAGTGCTGGGATTACAGGTGTGCATTCCCACACCTGGTATATGCAGTGCTGGGACTCAAACCCATGGCTTTGTGCATGTTAGGCAAGCACTCTCCTGACTGAACTACCTTCCTAGGCCAGGACATTGTTTTCTTTATATGCTTTTTTTTTTTTTCAAAAAATACTATTTTATTATTTTAATTTATTATTTCCTTCTGAAACTCAGCTTCCTCTTTTTGACAGGGTCTCCCTGTAGCCCCAGCTGTCCTGGAACGCACTACGTAGACCAGGCTGGCCTTGAACTCACAGAGATCCGCCTGCCTCTGCCTCCCAAGTGCCGGGATTAAAGGCGTGCGCCAGCACACCTGGCCCTCATTTTTTAAAAAATATTTAATTTATTATTTTTTAATTTTATGTGTATGAGTGTATTGCCTGTATGTAAGTGCACCCATGTCATGCAATGGCTGTGGAGGTCCAAAGAGGGTGTCAGATTCTCCTACAACTGGAGTTATGGACAGTTGTTAGCTGCCTTGTGGGTGCTAGGATTCAAACCTGGGTCCTCTGCAAGAGCAGCCACTACTCTTAACCATTGAACTATCTCTCCAGCTCCCTATATGTTTTTTTTTTTTTGATTTGTGTTTTATTTAGAGAGAGTGTGTTTTATTTTATTTAGTGCACGTGCGTGTGTGCGTGTGTGCACGCATGTGCATGCATGGGTATGTGTGTGTATACACTTGCTTACAGGCACAGGCAGGCCACAGCACACTACAACTTTCAAGAGTCAGTTTTCTCCTTCCACCATGGGTTCCAAGGATCTAACTCAGGTCATCAGGCTTGTATGACCTGTCCAGGACATTGTCTGTCCCAGGACATTGTTTTTTAAATGTGCAGTTCAATCCATCCTTCTCATTTTATGGCAACACTTCCTATGTGTCCATGCAAAGATATTTATAGCTCTCTCCTCTCCTTTAGTGCTAACCACTGTACTTCTGCTCTCAGTCCTCTGTGCCCTCTTCTAAGGAAATACCTTCCTTTTCCTTTGTCATCGTATTGTCTCCTAGCTTTGCTTGTGCTTTATTATTATTGTTTATCTCTTAGAAAATTTGCTGAATTGCTTAGAAAATTGCTCTACCCTTACTATTTCTGACGTATTCAACTCTGTACTTTCTATGGTTTCCTACAGTCTGCACAAGCCTTCACCATTTCTAACAACCATTCTGATTCTGCTTTGTACCAGCAGCAGCAAAGGTGATCACAGAGGCAGTACTGAAATGCTGAAATATCACCTAGTCCCAAGTGAGCAACTGGCAAACCCAGAGAAAACTGCTATTCTCATCTAAAACAGCCACTTCCTTTATTTTTCAGAGAAGATATCAGACCAGGAGTGCCAATGCTTAGGCAAGTCCGAGAGGCCCGTCGAAAAGAGGAAAAGCTACAGGAAGCTAATTTGAAAAATAGGCAGAAGAGTTTAAAAGAAGAAGAACGAGAAAGGCGCGACATTGGGTTGAAGAATGCCCTAGGCTGTGAAAACAAAGGGTTTGCTTTGCTCCAGAAGATGGGCTATAAGAGTGGTCAGGCTCTTGGCAAGAGTGGTAAGTCCCATTTGGAGTTAGATGGTCTTTGCCACCTGATTGTGATATATTGATGGAGACCAAAGTTGACACTGATTTTTATCTACTCAAATTAAAAAAGCTTAAGTTTCTTAGTGTCATTTGTCAGTCTTTATGGAGAACTTACATCTTCTCACATCCATTTTAAATATGAAGCATGCCACCAAGAGTTGCTTACCAGCCCAGCATTGAAGGCACTCACGACTGGCATGAATGCGGCTTTCATTGGAGGCTGCAGAGAAAGGTGACAGGTGATGAGTAGAGAGGAGCAGTGGCCAGACAGCAGCAAAGCAGCATTAAGGACCATGACAGGGCTCTGTTTGCCCTGCTTGCTCTGTATCTGTGGCAACAGCCTGAGTGATCATCCTGTTGGAGATGCTGGGCTCCCCTTTCAGGAAGTGAAACTGCGTATTAAAGTGCAGGCGCTGTAAAATGGCTGTTTCCATCTGCTGTTTTTCTGTTTTTAGTGTGTGTGTGTGTGTGTGTGTGTGTGCACGCCTTCATGTGTTGATAAGCACCATGTGTTATAGGTGTTGCAGAGACTGGAGGGCATTGGCTCCCCTGGAACTGGAGTTGCAGGTGGTTGTTAGCCACCTAATGTGGTCTTAGAAACTGAACCTGGGTCCTCTGCAAGAGCAATATGTCCTCATAACCACTGAGCTGTCTCTCCAGCCCCTATTTTTCTATTTTAATTCTTTATTTTTCACATAGAAAGACTGTTTTAATATTTTCACTCTCTAAAACCTGTTACATTGGTAATGTCACTTCTTACAGTAGCATAAGAGGCTGAGTAAGCGTTATTGAGAAGTAGGTATTTTGAGTCAGGGGAGGTAATTGATTATAAAGCGAGTATTGATTGCAGAATTCAGTCTACAGTATCATTGACGCTAGAAGGTGGTATATGGAGAGGCTTATAACATTGTATATTATACTATCCTGAAGTTTGAGATAGGATATTTCTAATTTGTGGAGTTTTTTTCCTCTCTTTTTTTTTTTTTTTTTTTAGGAGATGGTATTGTTGAACCAATTCCTCTCAATGTCAAAACAGGTATGTAATTATTCTTTATCATATTGGTAACAATAATTTAAATCTGCCACAGATTTTCACTTAATATGCTTTATGGTGATGTCGTTATAGATGTTATCATAGGAAGCCTATAGTAAAATGCTAAACACCTAATCTTTTAAAAGATTTTATTTTGTAGAAAAAAAAATTAAAGTGAAGTTTAGTGCAGTAAAGTAAGTTTTATGGAATATAAAATTTAAACCATAAAAATGTCGGGAACCAGGGCTGGAGAGATGGCTCAGCGGTTATGAACACTGGCTCTTCTTGCAGAAGACCCAGGTTCGAATCCCAGCACCCACATTGCAGCTAACTCCAGTTCCAGGGGATCTGACAGTCTCTTCTGTCCTCCGTGAGCATTGCACAACATGGGTGCACCTACCTACACACGGGCAATACACGCATACACATAAAATAAAAATAATAAATAAAATATTTTTTAAAATGTCAGGAACCAGGAATAGTGGCACCCACCTATAATCCCAGGCTTAAGGAGGCAGATGTAGGAGGATGGAGAGGTAGAGGCTAGCCTCAGCTACCTAGTGAGACCCTACCAAAGAGTTATGTGCTGGGGAGGCAAGTACAAGTCCCTGCCTCTAGTCCCAGTACCAGAAAAGCTGTGGGAGAAAGCCATTAAAATCATGGTGGATACATGCTTTTTTTTTCGGTCTGTTGAAATGTCCTAAAAAATGTTGTAAGACAGATTTATCCATGACGTCTTTTGCCTAATTCCTTGGATTAACTCAAGAAAAAAAAAAAAATCCTATTTTTATTTTATGTGTATAAGTGTATTTCCTGCATGTGTGTTAAATGTACCTGTGTCATGCAATGCCCGCAGAGGCCAGAAGAGGGCATTAGACCCCCTAGAACTGGAGTTACAAATGGTTGTTAGTTTCCTTGTGGGTGCTGGCAATTGAACCTGGGTCCTCCAAAAGAGCAACCAATGCCCTTAATTGCTGAGCCATTGCTCCAGGATAGCACAGCCATTAAAGGCTAAGGCTAACAACCAAAACGTTAAAGGTTTGATTCCCAGCACCCATTTTTTTTTAATGTGTATAGTATTGCTGTACTAGAAGATGAGACTAAATGATCTTTGTTAAAGTCAAATCATGCATTTGATCCTTAAAACAGAGCAAAGAAAAACAAATCCTGGTGTTTTCTGTTGTCAGTCTAATGAAATGTGTTTTAATAATTGTACTCAAGTTTCTAAGCATTTGAATTGTCATGTTTTAATATAAAAAAAAAAGTTCAGTAAGTGTCTCATGAGAATTTGTCTTTGATCAGGGAAAAGTGGCATAGGCCACGAATCATTATTAAAACGAAAGGCAGAAGAAAAATTAGAAAACTACAGAAGGAAAGTTCACACGAGGAACCAAGATGAAGAGAAAGCTGCAGAGCAGTTTCGGTAAAAGTTGGAAGTGGTTTGGTTCCAGATCCTTCTGTTGTGGCATGCTTATCAATACTGGGTATACAAATAGTCAAAAGAATGTAGATAGTACTATACAACTTTTCCTTCAATTAGGATGCGGCTTAAAAACAAGCAAGATGAAATGAAGCTGGAAGGAGACCTCAGAAGAAGCCAGCGTGCTTGTCAGCAGCTGGACACCCAGAAGGTACACTGCTGCTCACGTTCCGTTTCACCTTTCACAGTGTTTTGTGCCTGCGATAATTTGGCACATCTATTTTTAAAAATATTTTATTTATTATTTTTATTTATGTGTATGAGTATACTGTCTGCATGTATGTAAAGTGCACCTGTGTCGTGCAGTGCCCACAGAGGTCAGAAAAGGGTGTTGATCCCCTGAAACTGGAATTACAGATGGTTGTTAGCTGCCATGTGGGTGCTGGGAATTGAACCTGGGTCCCTGCAAGAGCAGCCAGTGCTCTTAACCATTGAGCCATCTCTCCAGCCCCATGACACATATTTTTGTTGTAGAAAAAAGATACAAACCTGGTCTATCTAGCCTTCTCTTTCTTTTTCTTTCTTTCTTTCTTTCATTCGTTCTTTCTCTCTCTCTCTCTTTCTCTTTGATCTATATCTTTTTATTTTTTTGTACATATGAGTGTTTCACTTGCATATAGTTAAGTGGACCCATGTCATGCAGTGCCCACTAGAAGAAGAGGATGTTGATCCCCTGAAATTGGAGTTACAGATGGCTGTTAGTCTTCATATGGATGCTGGGAATTAAACCCAGGTCCTCTGCAAGAGCACTCAATACTCTTAACCACTGACCCATCTCTCCAGCCCAACTAACTTTCTTTTGACTTATACTTTAATTGCTCAGGACTGGAAGGTCCGGAAATTCTCCGTGGTATTTGATTAGCCAGATTTTTAGTCCATATTTAGTCCTTGTATGTCTCTAGGAAAATTAGGACGGACTGCTTCTATTTTAGATTTCAAAATCTAAAATAGATTTTTTTTTTAAATCTAGCTTTGATTTTTACCTTAATACTATCAAAATAAAATATTTTAAATCTCAAAAATATTGGTATAATTTCTGTCTTATATAAAGAGATTGCTGGGCAGAATCTCTCACTTCACTATTATTTCCATAAGATTTTATCTTAAATGTATTTCCTGACACTTAGGACTTATTAGCTTATATGTGCAATTTTATACCCATAGGTCATCCCTGCTAGACTTCCAGCAGGAACTAGGAGACAAATTGTAACTGGTCTCTGAATCCCCATGGTTCATGGTACAGCTTTACTGAGAAACTGCACTCAGTAAATATTCATTGGAAGAACAAATTCATGTTGACACAGTTATACTTATGACATCCCAAGGATGCTTAGCCATGTTTCATAAGAATTCTTCATTTTCAGAGTATTCAAGTTCCCAGGGAGGCATGGTACTGGTTAAGGCCTGAAGAGGAGACTGAAAAGGAGGAAGAGGAAGACAAAGAACAGGGTGAAGATGAATATACGAGTGAAGATTTAAGTGTATGGTTGGCCATTTGTTTCTTCGTAGCAGGGAGTCTCTGCCTTGGCAACTGTCAACACCTGGATCTGAGTAATTTGTTGTGGGCAGCAACATAGGATGTATAGCATCTTCGCTGGTCTCTACCTACCACATGCCACTTGTACCCCCCTACCCCCCTAATGACAAAAATGTATCCAAGCTAAATAGCCCCTGTTGGGGGAGAATAACCCCTGGTTGAGAACTGCTGCTCTATAGGCTTGTTTTATAACCCAAAATCAAAATTTCATGTAGTCGTTCCAGTTAGCTTGAGTTTGCTGCTCAGCTTCAGTTTAGATGATGGACGTAATCTAATGTGTACCTTATTCATAATCAAAACAAAACGGAAAACACAATCAGAGGAAGTAGAGGGCTGATGAGATGGCTTAAGGAGTAGAGGCACGTCCTGCTAAGACTGACACACTGAGGTTAATCCTTAGACCTACATGGTGGAAGGAGAGAACCAGCTCCTGCAAGTTGTCCTCTGACCCCCATCCCCAGCACACACACACACGCACACCATGCATGGCAAGCATGTGCTCACACATACAGATATACTCTATACACATACACATTACACACACACACAAAAATAATTTTTAAATGTAATAAAAAGGAAATAGCCAGGCATGGTGGTACTCGCCTTTAATCCCAGCACTTGGGAGGCAGAGGCAGGCGGATCTTTATGAGTTTGAGGCCAGCCTGGTCTACATAGTGAGTTCCAGGACGGGGGCTACAGGGAGACCCTGTCTCAAAAAAAAAAAAAAAAAAAAAAAAAGGAAATAGAGATTATTCAAGAGAGGAAGATATGTTGCTATGGTTATTTGTTAAACAATTTTTTAGACACATTGATGTCTGGTAGAAGAGGCAGTGCTCTCCCTCTCCCCAGCCGAAGGGTAGATTCATGAAGTAAAGTGGCCTTTAAAAATCCTGATTCTTGCCGGGCATGGTGGCACACGCCTTTTATCCCAGCACCTGGGAGGCAGAGGCAGGTGGATGTCTATGAGTTCAAGGCCAGCCTGGTCTACATAGTGAGTTCCAGGACAGCTGGGGCTACAAGGGCCGGTGGATCTCTGTGAGTTTGAGGCCAGCCTGATTATGTTATTGTAGAGTTAAACAAAAGACAATTTTGCTAATGTTAACCAGTGCTGTCTCTTGTGCCTAGCTGACTTGTGGAAATGCCAGGTGGTTAGTCAACAGGGACCTGTCCAAATATATTACTAATGATCTGACACCTCAAGTAACTGGGACTAATTAACTCTGTCATAAGAGCCAGGAAACAAGATTCTAGCTAATGTGAACCACTGATGGACTTGTGTCTTCTGTCTAGGTGCTGGAAAAATTGCAAATACTGACTAGTTACTTAAGAGAAGAACATCTGTATTGTATTTGGTGTGGAACAGCCTATGAAGGTAGGAAGACAATTTATACTTTAAAAAATATGATGAATGCTATTTGATTTTCGATAAGTCACATCCCATAAACACTGAGTATCTTATTACATTCAAATAGCAATGTGGGACCAATATCTTATAGAGACTGTAGCCAGGTGTGGTGGCGCTCGCCTTTAATCCCAGCACTCAGGAGACAGAGGCAGGTGGATCTTTGTGAGATCTAGGCTAGCCTGGTCTATATATCAAGTTCCAGGCCCACTGGGACTACAGGGAGACTGTGTCTCAAAAAACCATAAATAAATAAATAAATAAATAAATAAATAAATAAATAAATAAGAAATAATTGAGGTTTTATTAGAATTTAGCATTTAGCTTTTTAATAACAATCTGCAAAAGAGAATTTTCAGCATTTATTTCTAAAGAAACTGTTTCTAAAATAATTTGAGAATATTTATTTTTTTCATGCTTTAATTTTAAAGTCTTTGATAGATACTTATGTTAAAATTTTAGGATTAATTTCTACATAGTTAGAATATTGCCATTGAACCATAAAAGTCAAGTATGTTGAAATCTCATTATATTTCACTGTGAAGAAGAAATTGGTTTAAAATTTGGCCAAAATGAGGCTAGAGAGATGGCTCAGCAGTTAGGAGCACTGGCTGCTCTTGCAGAGGACCCAGGTTTGGTTCCCACCCAGTGGTACCTAACAACTGTTCTTAACACCACCAGTTCCAGGGGATTCTCACAGTCTTCTAGCCTCCATGGACATTCCATGACGTGGATGAACTTAGAAATATGTAGGCAAAATAGTCATACACATAAAAATTAAAAATAAATAAAACTTGCCAAATATCTTATGGAGCCAAATGCCTCATATATTTATCCCAGTTAGTTTGGCTAGCTTGAAATTTAAAACTTTGTGCTTAAGAGTAAAGAATTTTTCATCATTATTGTTTTCCCCTTCATTTATTTTGTAAAGTAGCAAAGATAACTGATCAAAAATGCTACATACTATTTTCTAGAAGTTTACTATAAACTTGTATTAATCTTTTATTTCCCTCGCGTACATTACAGATAAAGAAGACCTGTCGTTGAATTGCCCAGGACCAACCTCTGCAGATCATGATTGAGATTATTCCCAATAAAGTAAAAATTATTTCTGCCAGTGAGGAAAAGCCTTTATATAATGCTTTATTATTATTATTTTTTTGTACTTCAGAAATATGTTCAGCTTTGGAATGGAATTATTCACTGACTTGAAAAAAGTTACCGTTACTTCAAAACACAGGATTCGTAGACTTGAACAGTTACAGTTTATGGCCGTATTGTGATCCTGTGGGGTTTAAGGACACCAATAGGTAGCTCTCTTGTTCCCCTCTTCTCTATGGAACAAATTCAAAAATCAGACATGGGAATCAGAAATAAATCATATGTCTGCTTTAGGGCTGGGGCTGTAAGTGGTAGAGTGCTTACCTAGCCTGTGCAAGGCCTTGACTGAGTTCAGGCACCGGCATCACAAAATTTAGGTTATCATCAGCGAGGCTGAAATACAGAACAAGATCGACTTGCCATAATCAGACTCTAATATTTCTTCCTGAATGGAAAAAAATTGCAAAACCAACTTTGTGTTCTGGGACTGATGTTTTGAAGAAATAGTCTTATTTTGGTTTATTTTGCAGAGTAAGTAGCAAACACAGCTAATCAAAACTACTAGGAATTTCCAGACATTGGCTCTCCAGGGTGGAGAGCCCACCACAGGTTGAACTACATATGCTGTCTTTTACCTCAATATCACCTGTCAGATAAAGCTCTTCTTTGTTGGAAAGAATGGGGGTTCAGAGAATTCTATAAAATTCTGTTAAGCTGAAACAAAATTTCAGTCAAAGCCTTTTTTGTCATTTCAGTGATCATATTAATATTCAGTGAATCCTAAAGCCCTGTGGATAGTTTCCATGGAGGTAAACAAAAACTGCCTTCCCTTTCTTCTCCTAACAAACTATAGTGTCAACTCACCACCTGCCTAGTGACCTAAAATGTTTTGAATATGTCGTGAACAATGATACTAAGAATGAGAATAAACCTGGAACTCCGAGACTCCGAGAGTTGTGGTCTATATTTACAGACCTAGAGCTAGAACTGGAAGAGACTGTTCTGCAGAGTAAGTAGCAAACGCAGCTAATCAAAATTAGGTTAAGAAATACAGTCTTTCAACCGGGAGCCGCAGTGCACACCTTTAAAATCCCAGCTCTTGGGAGTCAGAGACAGGCAGATATCTGTGACATTAAGGCCAACCTGGTCTACATAGCATAGGCAGGTTTCAGGTCAACTGGGGCTACAGGCAGGCTCTGTCTCAAAAAGCTGGGCATCATGGTGCACGCCTTTAATCCTAGCACTAAGGAAGCAGAAGCATTTGGATCTCTGTGAGATCAAGGCCAGCCTGGTCTACATAGTGAGTTCCAAGTGGGCTGGAGCTAGGGAGACCCTGTCAAAAAAATAAAAGAACAGTGATTGAATTTGGGTTGAGACTAATTCTTTAATCACATTGGGATTGGCATAATAGGTTCTACTTTGGGTGATGGATGAATCACATCATTATTGTGACCACAGATCTTTCCATTGTAAAGCCACTTTGACCCTTGCAATATACCATCTATGAGATGACATTTAAACACTTGGGAATATTTTGCTCCCTAACACTTTTTCACTCAGTAGTTTTAGCATTCATTGACAAACATTGCCTTAATCAAATACTACATGAAGTCAAAACCATACCTACTGCTTCCTATGAGTGCTTTTTTAAGACTCCTACATGCCTCATTCAATGCTTTTTCATTTGCTTAACCTAAATTTGGCTCACTTTAAAATTGTAAAACTATATGGCAGTAGTGGTTGTCTGTTACTCTCATCTAAAGCTGAAATTAAGACTCCCTCAGGATCATCCAAGATGCAGTCTAACCTATCTCCCAGCATTCTATGTTGAAATTCAGGCTGAGACCTTATCATGTGTATGTTCCCCAAATGTATCTTTTCCAGAGTTTATGCTTTGCCCCTTGCCTTTCTTGCCCAAGTGGTCTTCCCTCTCCTTTTCCAAATCTTTTATGTACTGGGTATCTCTAGAATCTCACGTCTAAGTCCTGTAGAAAGTGATCCTGCCTGGATGGACAATTTAGATGGCCATCGTTTTCTTCAAGGCCTTTGTTGTAACAGATACAGAATGTATTTAAGATATAAGACTGAAAGCCGGGTGTGGTGGTGCACGCCTTTAATCCCAGCACTCGGGAGGCAGAGGCAGGTGGATCATTGTGAGTTCAAGGCCATCCTGGTCTATATAGTGAGTTCAGGTCAGCTGGGACTACAGGGAGACCCTGTCTCAAAACGACAAAAAAAAAAAAAAAATACTGAAAATCCTACTTACCAAACACATTACCCCTCCCCTCCTTGGAGCCAACTACCTCCTAAAATGTACTATCACACACTCCCTTATGTACTTTTATCCCACCATGTGTTGAGATTCCTCAACAAAATGTGTATGTTTTGCATGTTCTGGAATGGTATGTAAATGGTTTCATCCTGTATGTATTTTCTGAAATCTTTATTCACCTAACATTGCACTGCTGACAAATACAGTTACTACATTTAGATTCAGTTCATTAACCAATATATGAATAAAAATCTTTTATCCGTTCTTTTTAAGACACTAATGGTTGCTTGTAGTTGTTTGGGCTTCTATAAACAGGGTGTATTAGCTACTTTTTGGTGTCACTAAAAATATGACAGAACTTGGGGTCTGGAGAGATGGCTCAGTGGTTAAGAGCACTGGCTATTCTTGCAGAAGACATGGATTTGACTCTCAGCACCTACCTGGAGCCCTCTTCTGTCCTCCATGGGCACTGCACAACACAGGTGCACTTACACACATGCAGGCATAATACTCATACACATAAAAAAAAATAATTTTTTTAATGACAAAATTTAAGGAAGGAAAGTTTTATGTTGCTTTTTTTTTTTCCATTACAATTTCAGAAAATAGTTTGTAGTGGCAGGGAAGGCTTGGCAAAAGACTCATTTCATGGCTCCAGGAGTGTATCCTGGGCCCCATTGTCTCATGGCCATCTCATAATACAAAATGCACTCAGTACAACTTCAAAATTTCCTACAATCGTAATAGCTTAATAGTCAACACTGTCCAAAAGTCCAAAGTATTCTGAGAGGCAAAAGGAAATTCTTAGTTGTGAGTCCTTATTAAGTAAAAAAATAAAAATTAAAAAAAATCACAACATACAATGGTACAAAGTAAAACATTCCTATTCCATAAAGGAAGAATGGGAGAACAGCAAGGAAAGATTCGACCAAAGCAAGACTAAATCTCAACAGGGCAATGAGACCCTGTAGTTCCATGTCCAGCATCTGGGGACATGGTGGCATAATCTAAGCTCCAGCCAGCTTGGGTAGCCCAACCTACATCCCTGCTAGACTCTTGAGCTGCCTCTATTTGGTGCCCACAGCTTTCTGCAGCAGATATTCTATGTTCCTATCACTTCCAACATTTTGGAGTCTCTGTTAAAACTTAGGTTTCATCTTCATAGTTTTGCACAACAGCATCTCAGAACCTTTCTTCGGGGACTCAGACCCTACTACACACTGTTGGTCATCGTAGGCTTGTTTCTAGAACTATGGAGAAAACTTCTGTAAATGTCCTTGCATTCTGAATGCCTGCACCATCATTTGTGTGATGTCAAGTTCTGCTGCCAGCTTGAGATGTAAACTCTCACCTTGGACCAAGGCTGCAGCAGTCTCCAAATGTCTGCACAGCTGAAACAGGAAAAGTTTTTCACAAGATGGCCCTGCTTGAACAGGGTGCCCTGGAGGCTTTATCTTCTTAAGCACTTGTTGTTGTAGTTGTTGTTGTTGAGACAGGGTCCCCTGTAGCCACAGATGAGCTAGAACTCACCATGTAGAGGAGGTTGGCCTCAATCTCACAGAGATACACCTGCCTCTGCCTCCCAAGTGCTGGGATTAAAGGCACATGCCACCATGCCTGGCATCAAGCACTCTTTTGAAATGAAAGTCCTTCAAATGCATTTTCACCTTCCATGGATGTCATCTTGCTCTTGAGACACATTTCCTACAGCACCAACATTGTGAAGTACATGGTTTCTCTTTAATCTCTTTAACAGTTATGGCCATTTTATCTGCACCTTTTCTTTAAAGGCACTCACTTTCCCAAACTGCATGTTTTCCACATCTTTCTGGTCTATTCTTTCTCCATTCCTTCTATAACCCTGACTAAATGCAGCATGCAACTACCATACCAGAGCTTGAATGTTATGCTCTCTTGAAATTTCCTCCACCAAACAAATTAGTGGATTACTTTTGAATTCTTTTTCAGAATTTGACATAAATGTCCTCTATTTCAGTTCCCAATATGATCCTTGCTCTCTTGCCTTCACTGTCTACATTTCTATCAGTATTTGATCTTCCAAGCTGCCACCAGAATATCCTGTTAAGTTTTACTAAAAGCATTTTAGAACTTCTGTAGCTTTCAGGTCCAAATTCTTCCACATTCCTCCCACAAACCAGTTCTGAAGGCCAAAGAACCACATGGTCATGTTTATTGCAGCAACAGCCCCACTTCTGGTATCATTTTTACCTCTCATCACTATGACCAATTGCCTGACAGAAGAAACTTAAGGAAGAAGAGGTTTATTTGGGTTCACAATTTCAACATGAGAAATGCACAATTTCAAGGTAAGAAATGCATGGCAGAGGGCTTGGTTCATGTTGGCAGGAGTACACAACAACTGCTTGTTACACAGCACCAATGACGAGGCAGAACCAGTCTATAACCCTCAAGGATCACCCCTAATGGCCTACATCATCTAGCTTTGTCCTATGTCCAAAAGATTTCACATCTTTCTGAAACATCACCAGCTGGAAACTAAGAATTCAAACATAAGCCTATGGGGAATAATTCACATTTCAACAGTAACAGGGTTTCTATGAACATTCTTACAGGTGTATACATATGAATTGAGTTAGTAGACTTGGGGTATATAACAATGTCAACTTCAGTAGATACTGTGAAATTATTTTCCAAAGTCATTGTACCACTTACTTTTCCATGGGTATTTTTTTCTCATGGGTATTATTTCCCCAACTGGCTAGCAAGCTATTCAAGGCAAGTTAAGATCTTCAATTTTTTGACCTAGAAACAGTAGCCATTTAATAAATACATATTAATTTATCAATTATTCTAAAGAAACTTTCAGAGTTTTTCTCCCGTCTTCTCTCCCGTCTTCAGAAAATGGTGAAGCCGGGAATGGTTGTACATGCCTGTAATCTCAGCATTCAGAAATCTGGGGTACAATGCTCAAATGTTCTAGGGCAGCCTGGGCTACATACCAAGACCCTGTCTCAAAAAAAAAAAAAAAAAGTCAAGATAAAAAAGATTAGGAAAGAATAAGTGTAAACATGATTTTAGGCATTCAGTTCATTGATGAAGGAGTTGCTCCCCTGGGAGCTACTTGGCAGTTGATAGCCACTAGGGTAAAGGGAGTCCCAGGTGAATTGCCCATGTTCCAGTGAATAGCTCTACACCCATGCTTAGGCCAGTATCCCTGGTTAAACTCTGGGTCACAAAATAAAAACAAGACAAAAAGACATGAAATTTGGTGGGGGACTTGCTGGGAAGAGGGGGTACTAATGGAGGTGGAGTGTGTAAGAGAGTGGGGGATGCATATGATCGGAATGCATTATATACATCTATGAAACCATCAAAGAATAACTTTTTTTTTTTGGTCTTTTTGAGACAAGGTCTCCCTGTAGCCCAGCTGGCCTGGAACTTGCTATGTAGACCAGGTTGGCCTCAAACACACAAAGATCCACTTGCCTCTGCCTCCCACTGCTGGGATTAAAGGCATGTGCTGCCACGCCCAGCTTAGAATAACTTATTTTTTATTTATTACTTTTAATTTTATATGCATGTATGTAAGTGCACCCATGTCCTGCAATACCTGTGGAGGACAGAAGAGGGTGTCATTCTTGAGAACTGGAATTACAGACAGTTGTTAGCCACCATATGGGTCCTGGGAATTGAACCTGGGCCCTCTGCAAGAGCAGCCAGTGCTCTTAACCACTGAGCCATCTCTCTAGTCCCATAACTCTCTTTAAAAAAAAATGAAAGAAAATAAAAATCAGTCTGCAAATACACTAAAATCTTAAGGAAAGAAAAGGAAAGTATCTACCATATTCCCTATCAGATTTTAGATAATTAAAAGAAAATCACATATGAGAAGCAGGGCACTTTTGCAGAAAGGCCTTAACATGTGTGTCTTTTCCTTTCCTCTGGAACATTCTTCCACTCAGACAAGGTCCTTAGAATTTCAAATGTGTTAGGTCGTTCCTTGGGTTCCTTTGAGAGTAATTTCTGTAGAAGATTTTTCTGTAATTATAATTAAGAGTCAATACTAAGAAATCAAACCGGGGGAACATAAAATTCTGGTCATTTGTAAGCCCTTACCTCTTTGCTTGTAAATATATCAGGAGAGAAGAATCCATTCCTTATATCTTCGAAAAACTTGAATACAATATATAAATGTATGTATTAGGAAGCAATTTACATGGAAAGAAAAACTAAGAACACATGTATGGCTAAGGGTACCCTAAATCTAGGATATTTCTAAAACTTGAGGATTCTTTAGTCAAGAAACAAGCAGAACTCCTCTCCCCAAAGTCTACACCAATCCAACTCTTAACATTCAATACTTTAAAGTGTTAGGTGCATGGTATCTGTTGTTTCCCTTCTGTTTTGGAGCACTGTACAATATATATTTTCATTATCCCTATCTTAGGGAAGAGAAAGTTGTTGATTCCTGGAAACCCCCTTTCCTAAGCTTCCAACTAATATAACTGCCTACTGCCTTCAACGGTTCCCCACCACCCACACAAGAAAGTCCACACTCTTGGGGCTGGAGAGATGGCTCAGCAGTTAAGAGCACTGGCTGCTCTTGCAGAGGACCCAGGTTCAATTTGCAGCACCCACATGGCTGCTAACAACCATCTGTATGTAATTCCAGTTCCAGGGGATTTGACACCCTCTTCTGACCTCCACAGGCTATGTAGGACATAGGTGCACTTACATACATGCAGGCAATACACTCATACACATAAAATAAAAATAATAATCATAAAATATTTTTTTAAAATGGAAGTCCATACTCTTTCCTCAATGTAGTCTCAACCCATCTTTCCAGCCCCATTAATCACCACCTTCAGATACAACTACACTGCCTGCTGGTCCTAAACACATACTACGCATTGTTCTCTTTAAGCTGGGGTTGCATGCTTTCTACTTCTGACTATTAAAAACAATCAGTGAGATGGCTCAGCAGGTAAAAAGCACTTGCTACCAAGTCTGACAACCTGAGTTTGATCTTCAGGACCTACATGATGGAAGGAAAGACTGACTCCTTGAATTTGTTTTCTGACCGTCACACACATGCCCTAGTACATGCACACACACACACAGTTAAATTAATTAAATTAATTAATAAGCAACAAAAAAAATGACCCTTCAGTCCCACCTTACATATTTCCATGGAACTTTTTTTAAAAGATTTTGTTTTTTTATGTGTATGATTGTTTTGTCTGCATGTTTGTATGTGTGTGCACCATGTGTGACCTGATGCCTGTGGAGTGCAGAAGAGGATGTCAGATCCAAAACTGGAATAATAGATGGTTGTGTGAGCCACCAGTCAGTGCTGGGCCCCAAACCTGGGTCTTCCGCCAGAGCAGTAAGCACTCTTAACCAAGTGCCCTCTCTCCAGCCCCTCCATGAAACTTCTACCCCTACTAAAGGAAACTTCCTTTTAAGCTGCTTCCACAGACTTCATGTCTTGTGAAATATTTAGGTATTCTCTGATGCTATCTTTCCTCTTAGAGTATGAACTCCTTGAGAAACTGACTTGTTTATTTTTATATCCATTGTAGCACTTAGCACAGAAACTTCTTTCCAATCAATGAAATTTTGTTGGTATACTCTCATAGGATTCTTATGAGATGTTTACATATTCCAAAGAAAGCAAACATTTATAATCTCTAACAAAATAGTTGTCAAAACTTGAAAGGGAAAATTTGTTTCACTTGCAATCACGTGCTAATACAGTCAAGCCCAGCCACATGGAGGGCAACAGCAGCAGCAGGGCTTGGAAGATAATCACGGATACTTTCATTTGCTGAATTCTTTCTTTGAGATTATTTACCTCTACTGTTTCTGAAACAGTGTCACATGGGTGAAGAAGTTCAGCAAGAATCAGCCCCAAAGTAAAGATGTCCACTTCTTTTCCATATTCTTGTGAAGACTTCTGGAGACCAAAATAGCCTTTGTTAGTCACCTGATATAAATCTTTTTTTTTTTTTTTTTTTTTCTTTTTGAGACAGAATCTCCTACAGCCCCAGCTGTCCTGGAACTCACTATGTAGACCAGGCTGGCCTTGAACTCACAGAGATTAAAGGCATGTGCCACCACGCCCAGCTGCCTTTTGAAACAAAGAATTATTTAGTTACAAATGTCACAAAAGTATCTGTTTATGGCCGGGCATGGTGGCACACGCCTTTAATCCCAGCACTTGGGAGGCAGAGGCAGGTGGATCTTTGTGAGTTCAAGCCCAGCCTGGTCTACATAGTGAGTTCCAGGACAGCTGGGGCTGTAGGAGACTCTGTCTCAAAAAGAAAAAAAAAAAAAAAAAAAAAAAAAAAAAAATCTGTTTATTCTAGATCTCATCAAGTTGACAATTGAGATTAACTACTACCTAGGCCAATCTCTTTGATGAATATGATGCAAGAATTCTCAATAAAATATATACAAATCAAATTGAAGTGTACATCAAAAAGATCATTCATCTTGACCAACTGTGATTTTTTCCAAGGTATGCAAGGATAGATCAACATACACAAATCAATAAATACATTCAAAGGAAAAAGTCATATTATCATCTCAGTAGATCCAGAAAAGCTTTTGACAAAGTTTAACATCCCTTCCTAATTAAAAGCCCTGGAAAATAAAAACTAGAAATAAACATAACATAATAAAGGATATATTTAACAAATCTATAGTCAAATGTTTGCTAAGTAGAAAAGCAGATCACCCAAATGAAGAGTGGGATAAGGATGTCTACTTTTTCTGCCCATACTTGATGTAGTTCTTAAGTCTGAGCTAGACAAGAGAAAGAAATAGAAGAGGTACAAATGGAAAGGAAGTCAGATTCTCCTCATTTATATACAACATGATCCTGTGCACAGAAGGCTCTAAAGATTCTACCAGAAACCTCTTAGAACCGGCCAACACTTCCAGTAAAGTAGCAGGATACAAAGTCAACATCCAAAACTCAGTAGGCCTTCTATAGTCCAATGATGAACATGCTAAGAGGGAAACCAGGAAAACAAACTCCTTGATAATAGCGTCTAAAAATTACCTAGGAATAAACGTAACCAAGGAAGTGAAAGACATCTAGAATGAAAAATTTTGAAATACTGAAGAACAGAACAGAAATTGAAGACACTAGAAGATGGAAAGATCTCCTATCCTCATGGATCTGCAGGGCTAATATATTGAAAATGGCTATAGTACTAAAAATGGTCTACAGGTTCAGCATAATCCCCATCAAAATTCCAACATTAAACTTTACAGAAAGAGAAAAAAACAATCTTAAAACTCATACAGAAGCTCAAAGGGCCCTGGAGAGCCAAACAAAAACAACAATACTGGAGATATCATCATGCTTGATTTTAAGTTATGCTACAGAGAAAAGATGGTATTTTCAATAAATAGTGCTGGGAAAACTGAGTGTTGATATGCAGAAGAATAATACTACACTTCTATCTCTCTGTGCAAAAATCAATTCAAAATGGATATCTTAATGTAAGACCTAAAACTGAATTTTTTTTTTTTTTTTTTTTTTTTTTGGTCTTTTCGAGACAGGGTCTCCCTGTAGCCCCAGCTGGCCTGGAACTCACTATGTAGACCAGGCTGGCCTTGAACTCACAGAGATCTGCCTGCCTCTGCCTCCTGAGTGCTGGGATTAAAGGCATGCAACACCACGCCCAGCTTACTCTGAAATTTTTAAAGGGAAACACTACAAGATATAGGTATAGGCAAGGATTTCTGGAACGGGCTCTAATAGGTCCAGGAAATAATATCAAGATTTGACCAATGGGATTTCATAAAATTCAAAGGCCTCTACACAACACAAAACACAATCACCAAAATGAAGAGACAGCATACAGAATGGGAGAAACCCTAACTAGATAAATATCTCACAAATGATTAATATCTAGAATATATAAAGAACCCCCAAAAACTAAATACCAAAAGAATACAAACATTCCAAACAATACATGAAGCTCATAAAGCTGGATGTGGTGGCATACACCTTTACTTACAGCACTTGGGAGGCAGAGGCAGGCAGATCTGAGAGCAAGGCCAGTCTGGTCAACATAGTGAGTTCTAGGCCAGCTGGGGCTACAGGGAGACCCTCTCTCAAAAGACAAAAAAGAAAGAAGGAAAGAAAGAAAGAAAGAAAGAAAGAAAGAAAGAAAGAAAGAAAGAAAGGAAGGAAGGAAGGAAGGAAAGAAGGAGAAAAGAAAGAAGAAAGAAGATGATCAGATAGCTCTCAAAACCTGAAGAACAAATAGCCAATAAACATATGAAAAATATTCAATACCCTTAGCCATCAGGAAGATGCAAATAAAAACTACTCTGAGATTCCATTCCACCACAATCAGAATGGATATTCCAAAGAAAACAAATAACAACAAATGCTGGTGAGGAAAAGAAACCCTTTGTAAACTCATGATGGAAATGTAGAGTAGTCTAGCCACAATGGAAATCAATATGGAAATTCCTCAAAAAACTAAAATAGCACTGCCATATGACTCAGCTGTACCATTCCTGGGTGCTTAACCAAAGGATTCTGTCAACCTACCACAGAGATACCTGAGCATTATATGTATTGCAGTGCTATTCACAATAGACAAGTTACAGAATCAGCCTAGGTGGCCATCAGCAGATGGGTGAATGAAGAAAATGTGACATATATGTACAATGGAGTTTTATTCAGATATAAAAAACAAAATTACATCATTTTCTGGAAAAATGATACAAATGGAGCTTGCCAAACAAAAAGAAATAAGCCCAACTCAAAAAGAAAAAACATCACATTTTCTCTCATCTGTGTGGCCTAGGTTTATATATTATAAATACATAAAACCACATGTATCCATTATATATATATATATATATATATGAAAAGAGAAAGAAAACTAGAAGAAGGAAGGAGACTAGCAGAAGAGGGAGAGGGAAAAGTGTGGGTATGGGAGAGGGATATGTTCAAAGTACATAATATAATTGAAACTGTCTTTATGAAGCTCAGCATACATACAACTAATTTTAAAGTTGGGGACTGGTGAGATGGCTCAGAGCACTGGCTGTTCTTGAAGAGGTCTTGGGTTTGGTTCCCAGCATGACATGGCTAAAAAGTATTTGTAATTCAAGGCCCAGGAGATCCTATGCCCTCTCTGGCCTCCACAGGCATTGCATACACATGATGTATGCAGGCAAAACACTCATACACATAAAACAAAAATTAAATAAAAATTTTAAAATGGCATTTTATTATTTGCTATATGGTAATGGAATTATTCATCTTTAAATGGGGAAAAATCAGGCTACAGCCCTTCCACATACATATACAAGATTAATTCAAGAAGATCAAAGTATCAGGAAAAAAGAAAAATATTCTTAGCATCTTCTGCTATGAAAGGCCTCTGAAATAAAAATGAGACTAGTAGTCATAAAGAAACCACAGATGAGAACGACAAAAACTTCTGCTCCATAAATGGTGTCATAAACAAAGAAGTAACAAGGAGAAAAGATTTAAATATAGACTTAGATGTAGAATCATCACTCAAAATACATAAAGATTTCTTGCAAACACATTAGCAAAACACACTCTAATTACAAAAATGAGGAAATAAATGACTAGAGAATTTATGGAAAACATAAATAAATATATGAAAAGGTGTCATACTTTTCAAAAAAAATCTAGAAAATACAAAGAAAAATTGCAAACCATTTCTCACGTATCAAAACTGAGGACTACTCGTATACTGGTTTGAGACGATGAGAAAGCAGCATTCTTGTGTACTTTAATAGATTATTAATAAAATCACTTTTTGAATGACAATTTGAGGGCATTTATTATGTTTGAAATGCAATTGTTACTCAAGGAATCTATCATAGATTATCATCACAGAAATGCCAATAGCCTACTGTATCTATGGTTCCTGTACCTGCAGATTCAATCATGTGCAGGTGAGTTTTGAAAACAAAACCACATGTGTATTGAACATGTACAGACCCCTTTTCCTCTGCAGTCATTACTCCCTAAACAATATATTACACAACTATGCATACAGCATTTTCATTCATTATATTAGGTATTATACATAATTTTAAGATGATTAAAGGTCCTAGGGAGTATTCATACATCATATGCAAATACTAAGCTACTATATGAAAGGAGTTTGAAATTCACAAATTTGGGGAACTATGGAGTTAGGGCATGTCCTGGAAACAATACCTGCCCCCTGGATAATGAGGGAAATCTTAAAACTATATTTCTTCTTGGACACAAAGACAAAGAGGAACATATAACAAGTCTGTAATGTATAACTTTGGAAACCTCTAAATAAATACCCTTCAGTAATGAAATAGTTAAATTATGGTATCTCTATAATTAGAAATACAATGTATTTATTAAAAAGGACATGGAATATCTATTTGTACCAGCAAGAAAAGATTATGATTTGTTGTTGAGCAAAAAAAAAATTCAAATCATAAAATAAAATTATAGTATTGTTTATATATGTATGTTTATGTAAAAATTTTGTGTATATATAATTATATATCATAAAAAATACTATAATAAATTTGTGGGACTATAAGAGGATATTTTATTTTTTGTGGAAATGACTTTTTTGGGAAGTCCTCCTGTCTTACCTAACCCTGTAACCAAAATTAACTTCATATTTTGAGGTCATTTAGCACTATCTATTTAATATGCCTTCCTGCTGTGTAATTAGATTATTCAAATTTAGCTAGCCTTTAGGAAAACTATGTAAACAAATGTGCCAGATTTTGGACTCCTCTTATTATCCATTTTTACAAGCTAAGCTAAACACATAGCTTTAATCTTAAACTACATTCCCTATTTCTTCCTCATGACCCTTCTTTGCCCCAAGCCCAGAATAACATATATGTTTGTACTGTGAAAATATCATCTCTGAAAGCAGCAACTTTGGAAGCACACTGAAAGCAACAAGTTATCCCCAGCTTATGTTGCAAACATGTGTGCTTAGGTTGATAGCATCTGTTTGTTGTTTTGTTTGCTGTTCTATGTCAGTAGGAGTGGAAAAGGAAGATTCCTCCCTGATTCTTCATTCCTCTCCCACATCATGCTTGAGTGGGCTGTTGAATAAACAGAGTATGCCTTTTGTTCAAGGGAGAGTTCTGAGAGAAATCAGAACACTTCTCTTCAGAATAGATCAGACTCACTCCCAGTTTAAATGATTCCAGGAGTTAGTCTTTCTTTAATGCAATATCACCACAAGTATTAATCTATATACTTCTGTAATGTTTTAATTTTCTATGAAGAGTCTATTATTTTAAAGAAACTAGGAGGCAGGAATGATGACACATGCCTTTAATTCCAGCACTCAGGAGGAAGAAGCAAGGAGGATCAAGGCCAGCCTGGTCTGCATTGAGAATTCCAGGTCAGGTGAGCTACTGGGAGACCTTGCTTTTTTTTTTTTTTTTTTTTTTTTTTTTTTTTTTTGGTCTTTTAGAGACAGGGTCTCTCTGTAGTTCCAGCTGCCTGGAACTCACTCTGTAGACCAGGCTGGCCTCAAACTCACAGAGATCCGCCTGCCTCTACCTCCCAAGTACGAGACCTTGTTTAAAAATAAAAGAGCAACAACACCCCTAGCTCTGTGCTACCCACGGCTGTGAACCTTAGGAAGGGCCACAAACTGATGAAGAATGAGAGCAAGCTGAGGCACAAACACCATGTTCATGGGAGACATGACCCAAGAAAGCAACAGCCAAAATGATGCTTGTCTGTCTCATCCACCTCCTTCAATAAATCCACAGGGTAAAACAAAAGACAAAAAAGGCAGAATTTAAAGATCTGGGAGATGACTCAGTAAGTAAAGTGCCTGCAGGCAAACATGTTAGCCTGAGTTTAAGTCCCTAGCACCCATGTAAGAGCTATGTGTGATGGTACAGGTCTGTTACCCCAGTTCTGGGAGGGGGGCCCCAAGGCAGAGATAGGGGGATCCCTGAAGCTCACTGGCTAGTCACCCTAACCAAATCGATGAGCTCCAGGGTCAGTGAGAGACTCTGTCTCAAAATACCGGGTGGAGGGCCTGCCAAATAGTTCAGTGAATAATGGTCCATGCCTCCAAGCCTGTAACCTGAGTTTGATTCAGGAACCACCACATATATGCTCTGGCAAGTGCCTATCTCCTCCACCCCATACCAACAAAATAAATAAAAAAAAATAGAAAACATATATAATATATACATATACGTAAATTATATAATATACACATAATATATATGATATATACATAAATTATACATATATGTGTACACACATATGGTGGAGAGAAAGCAGATACCTGAATCGATCTCTGGCCTCTATATGCTCATGCACACACATGCACACAGACACACACACAGACAGACACACACACACACATACCCCACACACGTGTACAAATCCTATGATGGCCAATCCTGGTTGCCAACATGACACATCTAGGAAGAGGAAATCTTAATTGGGTTATTGTCTCCATGAGATTGGCCTCTGGGCATGTCTCTGGGGCATTTCTTGATTGATGTAGGTGGGCCCAGTGCATTGTGGGCAGTACTATCCCTATGCATATGGGCCTGAGATGTATAATAAAAGGAAGCTGAATGTGAGCCTGGGACCAAGTCAGTAAGCAGCTTTCCTCCATGGTCTCTGCTTCGGTTCCTACCTCCAGGTTCCTGTCCTGAGCTCCTGCCTTGGCTTCCCACCATGAGAGACTATAATCTGTAAACCACATAAACCATTTCCTTCCCAAGTTGCTTTTGGTCATGGTGTTTATCAAAGCAACAGAAAGCAAGCTAGAATGTACCAGAGACAGAGACGGGGATTGGGGGTAGAAATTAAGAAGTAAAATACACACAAATGGAAAGGAACTGGACCTTACCTGTTCTGGACTCATGTACAGCATAGTTCCTATACTCCTTGTTCGCTTTTCATCGTCAATTTTCAAGGCTGTTGCAAGTCCAAAGTCTCCAATCTTTATGTGCTTTTCATCTACTAAAAATATATTACCTGGCTATAGAAAAAGATTTACTTAATATGTACCAATATATACAATTACCACACATCCAAAACATCTTTTATCTGACTTGTATGGCATTTACTTCCCTATCAGCAACCCAAATCATTTAATACCACAGATCTTTAAAATGCCAGCTAAAGGAAGGAGAAAAGACCTTTAATGGCAGCAAAGGTGGCTGGGGTTATAACCTGCTCCCAAATAGCAGAACAGCTGACAAGCAAAAGGTACATTCACTCTGCGGGGCCAGAGGCTGGACATGAGCCAGATTTTCTTCTGAATATGATATACTAATTGAGTGGTTCAAGGAATAGGAGTTAGATTTCCTCATCCCAGAATGGGGCCGGACACCCACCTGAGGGAATGTTGGAAATGTGAATTCAAGATCCTGTGCAGAATTTCTGCCAGGAGCTTTTATTTTTAATGTCAATTTCTCCAGGTCTCTGACAATTTTTATTTATTTATTTATTTATTTATTGGTCTTTTTGAGACAGGGTCTCCCTGTAGCCCCAGCTGTCCTGGAACTCACCATGTAGACCAGGCTGGCCTTGAACTCACAGAGATCTGCCTGCCTCTGCCTCCCAAGTGCTGGGATATTTGTTAATGAGTGTATCCCCCTCACGTTGTTAACTGGAAGCTGACTTCTAGTACAAAACACCTTTCCTATGCAATTCTTTTTGTCTTAGTGGTTTTTGCTTTTATTTTTGTTGCTGCTGTTGTTTTGTGGGGTATTGTTTTGTTTGGAGACAGGGTTTCATGTATCCCAGGCTGACCTCAAACCTCCTATGTAGCCAAGAATGACCCTGAACTCCTGACCCTCTCACCTCTACATCTTGAGTTCCGGAATTACAGGTTTGAGCCACAGTTCTTGGTTTATGCACAGCTGGGGATCAAACTGAGGGCTTTGTGAATGCTAGGCAAGCACCCTCACAGATGAACTTCAACACTAGCCCTCCGAAAAAGCAATTTTTAAGCATATTTAAAATTGTTGGCTTACTGTTACCATTTATGCACATGGATTTATGCCATAATGCATGTGCACATAAAAACTGGTGACTTTGGACTTGCAACGAGACAATTTTTGTGAAGTTGTTTTCTCCTTCCACCTTTATGTGAGTTCTAGAAATTGAATGCCAGGCTTGTACAAGAGCCTTTACCCACTGAATAATCTTACCAGCCCAAGCATTTCTTTAAAAATTGTGTGTGTGTGTGTGTGTGTGTGTGTGTGTGTGAATAAATAGTGGCCTCATCTGCTATACAACTCTATTTATTGTAAAGACTATGAAAACAGGAAGGTGGGGTGTAGTTAATATTTTGCCATTCTTGCAAAGACTAGATTTTCAACACAATGTTGGGCTCAACATACAAAGACACCTAGGAGAGGGCCAAGCTAAGTAGCAAGGGAAGAGATGAGGAGGTCAGGGGAAGGCTGAAAGGAGCTAGGAAGCCCGGTGTAGAAACCAGCAATGACTTTAACATTCAATTACTGGTTTAGAAGTCAAGTCAGTAACAGAGGTAGAAGGTGGAGATTTGTGAGGGGTGGACATGGAGAGAAAACATTCCTAGACTATACTAAAGTCATAATGTAAAGCTTGTGCTGGGTTTGCAAGTGAAATTGCTACCCCACATGTGGCTATAACCAAACTCTGAGAAACAGGAGTCTGAATTTATGATGTTTCTGAATATTTAGATCTGAACCCAGTATCTGTGACTGCCCTCAGGAGCAATGACTGAGCGATTAGGAAGCACTTCCCTGGACCACAGGGGAACACACCATGTAGTAGTGTTTGGGCCAGAGCAGCCGCCAGGCCATACCAGTCACAACAGTCATTTTCACAGGAATGTTCAGTATAGGAAAGCTGGTAGTGTTTACAACTAGGCTACGACTATAGAGATAAACAGAAGCAGAAGTGAATAAGATTTCTTATAGGACCATTGTCATGTTAAATTCAACAGCCCTAGAGATCTGAGTAGTTGCATGGGATGGCATTTGTGGTAAGTTCCAGGACCATTTTAACCTCAGCAGATCAGAGATATTATCTCATCATGACTGCTGATCAGTCACAAATCTAAAACTAGAGAAGATAAATTTTTAAGTTATTAAATTCTTTATTTATCAAATAACAAGATACGTTTTCCACTTACCTTAAGGTCTCTATGAATTAAACCTTTTGAGTGTATATAATGCACCCCTGTGGTTATTTGTTCAAATAATTCCAAAGCCAAAGTTTTGTATGATTCATTGTGTTTTCTGTTTTTCATCCATCCCTCCAATGTTCCTTTATCACAGAATTCCATTTTGATGAAAAGGCACTGCGTCTTTGATCTGGATACAAAATTCATAGTACATTAAAACTAGCAATAAAATTAATTTATTAAAAAATCCTACCATGTCCTCGCCGGGTGTGGTGCCACATGCCTGTAGTCCCAGCACTCGGGAGGCAGAGACAGGCAGATCTCTGTGAGTTCAAGGCCAGCCTGGTCTACATAGTGAGTTCCAGGACAGCTGGGGCTACAGGGAGACCCTGTCTCAAAAAGACCAAAAAAAAATTTTTTTAAATCCTACCATGTCCTCTTATGAAACCCAAAACACATCCCAAAACAGAAATCTAAATATAATAAACTTGAAATAAAATATAATAAACCATTTTTACACAAATTATAATTTCCCAAGTATCCAGAACTTAGTTGGCTATGAAGTACGAGCCCATCCATTCTTTAATGCTGAAGATCCTTAATCACTTCTGCTAATAGATATAAATAAGAGTTTTAATTGCAGAAAACCAGATTTCATTATTATAGAAAGACATCTTGAAGAATTTTAATTCATCATCAATTGATGAAGCATCCATTTTATAAAAGATACCTAAAAATGAGAAAATGACTTATGTACTATCCTTATCAGCAGGGAGATTATAGTCTCTTACAAGAGGTAGAAGAAACACAGACCTAAGATGATAGCATGTTAAGAAACTCTTAGAGAAGTGCTAACAAACTGATTGCTATGAGATGTAAGTTGGAGGACTGGTTTTGCTAACCATAGCTCATATTTTCTTCTGAATTAGGTTGGCTTCAATATTTAACTCCTATTCTCTGGACATATGTGATCTAGAAAATATGAAGATGTAACCAATAATTTGCTTAGAGCTAAAGAATTCTCTTGTATACTAATGATCAGTAACTCCTGAAATCAATGACAAAGTTTTCTATTGCAAATGGTAGAGATGAGGCTGCTTAGAAGGAGATGGTGAAGGGCGAGGTCCTCAATGACATGAAAATTTCAGGAAGATTGCCCCCCCCCCCACCAATCTGGATGATATTCAAGGGCAGAAGCAAGTTCTGAAGGCTCTCCACTCCTTCTGAGGGGCCTGAGCTGAAACAATGCTTGAGTGATGTAAACAGGAGTCCTCCTCACAGCTCACCACTCCACCACAGTGGAGCTGCATTCCAGAAATGCTTTGCCTGTCACCTCAGAAAATAAGGACAGAAAAGTTTTAGTAGCTGTGGAAGAAGTCTTTGGATACAGACCATACTCATATGTTGAACAATGGAGTCAGGAAGGCAAAACCTGGGATTTTGAAAACAACTAAGACATTAAAAGATTACAAGCTGGACTTGGTGGTACATGAATTTAATCCCAGTACTCGGGAGGCAGAGGCAGGCATTCCTGTGAGACTGGAGCCAGCCAGGTCTACATGGTGAGTTCTAGACCAGCCAGAACTATAGGAAGACCTTGTCTCACAAACAAACAAACAAAAACAAAAACAAAAAGATTTTTAATTAATTTTTTGGGGTCTTTTTGAGACAGGGTTTCCTGGTAGCCCTAGCTAGCCTGGAACTCACTATGTAGACCAGGCTGGACTTGGACTCACAGAGATCCTCCTGCCTCTGCCTCCCAAGTGCTGGGATTAAAGGCATGTGCCATCACACCATGCAAAAAGAAAGAAAAAAAAAAAGATTTTTAAAAGTAAGTTTGGGCTGGGAGTAGTGACACATGCCTGGACTCCTAGCCCTTGAAAAGCTGAAGCAGGAAGACTGCTTGTAGAACTGCCTGAGTTTACATGGTCAGTACCAGACCACCTCTAACAAGACCAGGTCTCACACAAACAAACAAACAAACAAAGGAACAAACTAAATGAAGTAAAGAAAAGCAAGTTTGGAGGATGGAGAAGAACAGGGAAAGATTATTCACTGTCTCTTTGCCTGCAGTACAAGAGCCCTCTGCATGTTCCAGAGGTTATTCTGATAAAAGAATGTGATACCAATGGCTCCGTCCAGTGACCCCCACACAATACATGACTAAAAGTGTTAGAGTAGCAAAAAGCCCCATAAATTTAACTGGTCAAGACTATTAAATCCCTGGTCTATTTGTTGGCAGACCCACCTTTTCAGTCTCACTGGTCAATCACCTGGTGCTAGAACCACCCCTAGGAAGGCAGGTTCACCTTAAGTTATGCTAAATAGATGGGCGGAATACCTGGTGCATTAGTGAGGTAGCGAGTTTTCCTGCCTAGAATCCTGCACAGAACTTCCAGATGAGCCACAGTTATGTAGTCTGAAAGTCTGTCCGCCTTTCTGAAGAAAGGCGTAATTTCCCCCTTTCTTCATACCTTTCTTCTTAAGGCTTTGGGCTGCCCCTGGCATCTTGTATTTTTTTACTTTTTCTCTAAAGCTTCCTTCTCCCAGCCATGTGGCTGCCAGGCAGCCACGTATCTGATCTCCTATGCAGGGTCTAAACCCATATGGCTTCATGGCTTTTTTCTTTCTTCCCACCACTCACCTCCTCAAGGCAGCTGCCAAGATTACCACCTCGTCTTCCCCAAGGATTTTTTCTTTAAAATTCTAATAAAATTGTAAAAGCTTCCGTTTGGGTCCGTTTTTAAATTATTTTATGAATGAGACTAAGAACCCTCTAGGGGATGCTCTTTCTCCCCATTTCAAAAGGATTTCATCAACTTATGGCTGTGAGAATTTCTTCTTACCGACCTTGGCCCATAATCCAAGCTCTTCTCAAGATCGTAATCAACTCCAACCCAGCACCCATGGTAATGAACAATATTGTCGTGGTTAAGTGATGCCAGAACCTTTACTTCACGCTCTGCCTTCCTAGTTAAAAGGAACAAGAAGAAAAACACATTATTACGCATCTCTGATAACTACAGAACACCTCAAGTAACAGGAGGCAACACCTAGGTTCCCTAGGTCCACAGCTGCTGGGGTTCCAGTTTGAGTATGAGAGCCAGGGGAACTCAAAGGAATAGGCAGAGAAAGCACTGCTGTTCTCACTCTCAACATAAAAGGCTTCTAAGATTCCAAGCAGCCTAAAGTTTAAAAATCATTTATATAGTCTTTTAAATGTTAATGATACAACTTTCAGTAGCTAAATCATATTTGGTATTTTTTTTTAAGATGTATTAAAATATTTGGATTTCACAAGCAAATTCCATTTGGGCAGCAAGGGTGGGTAACTCAGGCAGCAAGCAAGACCTAATGAATACATTTCAATGTGTGACCAATATACAGCAAGGAAATAACCTATGCAAAGAAGCTGAAATTTCACTGGATGCCATGAAACCTTGTATGCCCATGAGCTAAGAAACTGTGATTGTTATTTTCTTGACTATAACCACAAGTTCCAGATAGGAAATTCTTTAGGCAAAGCCTGTAAATACTTTTATAGTTCTAGAGTAATGTTTCCAAATATAAAGCTAACATCAGAAGCAATGGGGTGCAGTGGGAACACAGTGGGTTGACATTCCAGGGGAAGAGTTCTAAAATTCCATCTTGCCTAGAATAAATACTGAACAAAGACAGTCCTCAGTTCTATTCCCCACCTGGACACCTGCTGTTGAAATTAAAAGGCAGTGGTCTGTTTGGCCTTCCCTTGAATCTGAGATTGTGTTAGTGCTTTTTAACCAATATAATGTGGTTAAAGTGATATTTTGCCACTTCTAAGATCAGATCAAAAGAGGCTTTCTTCCTGGACTCTTGGATAACTCTTTCTGAGGACAATCCTTCTTGAAACTCAGTCTCTAAGTTGTGAGAAGCCCAGACGACATAAAATCAGGTAGAGGTGATCTGATTGACAGTCCCAACTGGGTTTCCTGTCCACAGCCAGCATCACCCATCAGCCTACTCAAGTTTTCAAAAGGCCTGACTGAACGCTGGGAGCCCCAGGTGAGGCTTGCCCTCCTCAGCACAATTACCCCTCAGGGCCATGGCAGATAATAGTAAATTTCCATATCTAAGTCAGTGCATTTTGGAGTAATGTATTATGCAATAATAGACTATCAGAACAAATACCAATCAGTTCAGGGATGGAAAGATGGCTCATCAGTTAAGAGCACTTGGAGAGGAGTTTGGTTCCCAGCACCCATATCAGGCAGCCCATGACTGTCTGTAGCTCCAGTTCCAGGGTATCTGATCTGATGCCCACTCCTGGTTTCTGCAGGTTCTGCATGCACATGGTGCATGTACAGACAAGCAGGCATATACACATTCACACAAATAAAAATTAATTAAATTTCAAAAATAAATCATTTTACATATTTTGATTTCAGTCTCCTCATCTGTAGCATCAGGAAATGAATCAAGAAAACCTCAAAGATCACCTTAAATCATATGATTCTGTAGCTTCAAGTTTCAAAACTGTCTCAAAAGGATGGTCAATGATATGTTGATTTTTTTTTTTTTTTTTTTTT